TATTTCAGGATTCTTTGCAAAGAGTGAGAAGTTTGAGCAGAAATTAGTGTGCAAAAATAAAACAAAATCTGTTCTTTCTCCAAGAAAAGACATTCTGCAGCCACCACCTCTGTCCCTCCTGTTATCTGTGGCACTGGAGACTTCCTATGCCAGCGTCCCTTGGTTCTTACCCTTCCTTCTTTGTCTTTAACACCTTGCTCTTGGTTATAGTATAACTAGGTCTTCTTCAGTCCCCAACTAAATCGGAGTCCAAGAGTAGAATAACATCAGAATTTAGGGACCAACAATTGGTGTAATGGCTATGTCGCTGGACTCCCATGTAGCCGACTGCGGTTAGAGTCCCGGATCCGATGGCTTAAACTTACACCAGGCACGTGTGCATGTGTGCCCAAGATCCCAAGAGGCGAATGGAGGAGAAGGGATTGCGGCATGGCCATCCCCCCTGGGGGGTGATTTCTCGCTTTCTGTCTCTCTGTCTCTCTCTCTCTTTCCAGTGAGCTCCTGTGCCCTATAGCAAAAACTTCTCAAAAAAAAAAAAAAAGAATAAAATCAGAGTTTATCAGCCTTTTGTGTTAGCTACATGAGGTACTTGAAATGTAATCATTCTCATGCACAGCATTCCTTTCTTTCTTTATTTCTTTCTTTTTTTTTTTTTTTTTTTTTAGAGAGAGAGATCTTTGCTGTAGGGCACTTGCACTCATCAAAGAGACAGAAAGTGAGAAATCACCCCCCAGGGGGGATGGCCACGTAGCAATCCCTTCTCCTCCATTCTCCTCCCAGGATTTTGGGCACATATGCATATGCACCCAGCATGGGTTTTAAGGCACAGGGTTCAGGACTCAAACCGCAGTCAACCATGTGGGAGTCCAGTGATGTAACCATTACACCACCTGCTGGTCCCATCCACAACAGTCTTAGAATAAGTTCCTTTTGTTTGTTTGTTTTAATTTGTTGTAAGGTGTGTGTGTTCACTGGAGAGAGACAGAAAAGGGAAGTGAAAAAGCATTCCTCAGAAAGGGATGCTTTTGTCCCATGTTATTGTCCCTTCTCCTCCATTCTTCTAGAGGGATTTTGGGCACTCACACACATATGCCCAATGTGTTTTTCAAAACGCTGCATCCAGAACTTGAATTGGGTCAGCCATAGAAGTAAATTTATCTATTTACTTATTGAAAGATACTTACTTACTAAAAGATAAGTAAATAAATAAATTAATTAAATACTTAAAAAAAAAAAAAAAGAAGTATGTGCTTGCCAGAGAGAGACAGACACAGGGGAAGTTAGAAATGACTTTCCAGGGGCTAGGCCGCACCACGATCCTTTCTCCTCCTCTCAGCATTTCTCCTGGGATTTTGGGCATGCACACACAAACATCTGGAATGATTGCTTTTCTTTTTTTGGAGAGGTTTTTGCTATAGGGTGTGTGAGCTCACCAGAAAGAGACAGACAGAGAGACAGAAAGTGAGAACTCACTCCCCCGGGAGGGTGGTGGTCACACTGCAATCCCTTCTCCTCCATTCTCCTCTTGGGATCTTGGGCGCGCACACTCACACGTGCCCAGCATGAGTTTAAGCCACTGGGTGTAGGACTGAAACTGCAGTCAACTACATGGGAGTCCAGGAACATAGCCATTATGCCAACTACTGGTCCCCACCTGAAATGATTTTCAAGCTTCTGGGTCCAGAACTCAAACTGGGTCAGCCACAGAAGTCCGGTATGTTGGGGCCAGCAGGTGGCGTGGTGGTTAAAGGTGCTGGACTCCCACATGGCCAACTGCAGTTTGAGTCCTGGGCCTGGCAGCTTGCTTTCTCACTTTCCCTCTCTGTCTCTCTCACTCTGTCCCTCTCTAGTCAAAATTTTAAAAATAAATAAATACAGTTAAAGAATTAAAAAAAAAAAAGTCCAATAAGTTAACCACCATGCCACCTGGTGGGCATGTAGTGAGAGCATTCTTTAAGGAAACCGCTGCCTCCAGTGTTAATAGAAACATTTCTGGGACCAACAGTTAGTGTAATGGCTATGTCGCTGGACTCCCCTGTAGTTGACCGCGGTTCTCGTCCGGGACCCAGTGGCTTAAAACTCATGCCGGGCGCGTGTGCCTGCGTGCCCAAGATCCCGAGAGGAGAATGGAGGAGAAGGGATTGCAGCGTGACCATCCCCCCTGGGGGGTGATTTCTCGCTTTCTGTCTCTATGTCTCTCTCTGTCTGTCTGGCAAGCGCACACGCCCTATAGCAAAAACCTCAAAAAAAAAAAAAAAAGAAAGAAAGAAAAAAGAAAAGAAACATTTCTGACAACTTGGCTAAAACTATTTAGTTAGTCAAAGTTTTATTGCAGGGGCTGGCAGGTGGCATGGTGGGTAAGGGTGCTGCCCTAGACCTGGTGGCTTACTTTCTCACTCTCTCTCTGATCAAATTTAATAAATAAGGGGCCAGCAGTTGGCGTAATGGCCATGGCGCTGGACTCCCATGTAGTTGGCCACGGTTTGAGTCCCAGACCCGGTGACTTAAACTCACGTTGGGTGCGTGTGCATGCATGCCCAGGATCCCAAGAGGAGAATGGAGGAGAAGGGATTGCGGTGTAGCCATCTCCCCTGGGGGGTGATTTCTCACTTTCTGTCTCTCTGTCTCTGTCTTTCTAGTGAGTGCACGCACCCTATAGCAAAAAGCTCTCAAAAAAAAAAAAAGAAAGAAAAAAGAAAGAAAGAAAGAAAAGAAAAGAAAGAAAGAAAGCCACCAGGGCCAGGACTTGAACCGTGATTGACCATGTGGGAATCCAGCGCCTTTATCCACTACACCACCTGCCAGCTCCTAGATTTTATTTTAAAATAAGAATGTTCATTAAAAAGCCACTAGATTTTTGACCAGTATCAGCTGCCTGGTAGAGAGACTAGTTTTCCAGAACAAGTTTCATTTCCTGAAAATTCATCAGATATATTTTTTAATTATTTAATTAAATTACATTTATTTATTTTTAAAAATTTAACCAAAGGGGGACAGCTTACTGTGGAAAAAGTACCGTGGCATTACCAGGCCCTATTGGAAGGTGCTTGAGCGCACATTATATTTCACTTTCTTTCTTGTGCACGTGCCCCCCCCCCCGAAAAAGTGTTTCCATATAAGAAAGCAGGTGCTCAAGAACAAGCTATTTTATTAACCACAGTTTTATAATTCTTTCTAATAATAGTGCATACATTAGGAGTTTTTATTTATCTAGAAGTGAGGACCCTCTTATCATTCTGTTTGTCTCCTTAGAGTTGAGCAGTTGCTGCGTGCTCCGCAGAGGGCACAGTGGCACCTGGGGCAGGGCTGCCTGAAGGAACTGGGCTGCTGGGAATTCAGTGTAGCATAGGCAGGCCTTCAAATGCCATGAGCTTAAAATCCGCAAGAGGGGAAACGATATAACCATAAATACAAAAAGTCATACTTTATTTATCTATTTTTAGTTTGCTTTAGGGTGTTTGCTAGAAAGAGGGGGGAAAGTAATAAAGCACCCCCAGGGGGATGGTCACACCAGGTCCCTTTTCCTCCATTCTTCTCTTGAGATCTTGGGTGCACATGCACATGCACCTGGCATGTTCAAGCCACTAGGTCCAGGACTCGAACTGTGCAGTTGACCATGTAGGATCTAGCTACCTTAACAACCATGCCACAGGCTGACACCAAAGTGTCATACTTCAGACATCAGCCGGGTTGAGGTGAAAACCCCGATGACTGCTCAGTGTGTTTCTAGGTCATGTATGGAAAAGACTGTCTTTTGAGACTCACATTCTCCTTACCCTAAGAGACGGTCCTGGACCAGGACATGCTGTGGGTATAGAGAGTTTGGGCTCCTGTTTCGCTCTTTGTGTGATCTGATGAATGAATCACTGCAATCCCTTCTTCTTTGCCCCTCACTTTTCTAGTCAACACACAGGTGAACTTGCCAATGTCCACACATAATTAAACAACTTTGCTCAATAATACCAAGGAAGTGAAGGTCCCTGCAGAGTATTAATGGGTACACAGAGGACATCAAATCCACGGAGGCAAGAGTTCAAAGCTTCGGGAAGGAGATCTGAGCTGGTCTTTGAAGAATGGACACATTAGGAGAGAGCAGGCAAAGAAGGGCAGCATGAGCAAAGGCGCAGAAGCAGGGATGCCCAGAGCTGAGTCGAGGAGAAAAGAGTGGTCCAGGGACCTGGGCTTTAAGACCGTGTGATGGGAAAAGGGGTGAGAATAGGACTAGAAAGGAATCTGGTCTCTGCTCAGAGCTGGTTTCAGAGATGTGTGATCAAACTCAGGGAAGCACAGTATGGGCCTCGGAATACTAATCAAAGCATCCTTGGAGGTCTTCCAAGGATAACCTCCCTTGCTTGTTTTCTCTGGAAATTTTGCTGTGAGTGAACCCACAGGAGGGGCAAGAACGGAGCCTTTCATGAAGGCAACTAAGTGCAAAAACACTGGACCCCCCTCACTTTCTTCGGGTTCACAGTGAGGACACTGACTTGCCAGTATGCAGGATTTCTGTGAAGGCCAAATGGTTAGAGGCTTTAGAGCTGCATAGACAAAGAGTCACACCTCTGCTCATCCTTTAACTGGTTGTGCAGACACTGGATGGGGTAAGTCTTTAACTTCACTGAGCTTCAGGTTCTCTTGAGTAAAACGGTTGTAATAATATTTACGTCGTACGGCTGATGTGAGGATTAACTGAAATAATGGATGTAAAATGCTTAGCCTTAGCATGGCACATAGAATGAATTAGTTATCATAATAGCCGAGAAGATGACACTGCATTACATAAATGAGATTTCACTGTCTGAACACGCATGTGATCAATTCCCGAGAGAGTTCACTTGGGGAACTGGCTACGTAGTGCAAATAAACGCAGCAAAAATCTGGAGGAACTGGAATCCGCTCTTACACAGATGAGCCACACCTCTAACAGGCAATCCCCGCCCCAAGGGGGTGTGTTAGGACAAGACCCCGCCCCCAGACTATTCTGGCCCCGCCCACCCGGCCATGCACCCGTACCAATCCCGACGCGCGTGCGCACGCTAGGCCCGCGGCCGAGATGAGGGTCTTAGTTCGGCGCTGCTGGAGGCCCCGGCTGGCCGGCGGCGCTGTTGGCGGAAGGCTGAGCCCCCAGTGGCGAGCTCTGAAGGCGGAGCCCCCAGTGGCGAGCTCTGGCTGCGCTCGGCAGGTCTCCTGGCGGAGAGGACAGCCGAGATGTCCGAGTTCGGGAGAAGCCGCCCTGGAGGGTGCTGTTCTTCGGCACCGACCAGTTCGCTCGCGAGGCGCTGCGGGCGCTGCACGCTGCCAGGTACCCGCGCCGGGGCTTGGGGACCCGGCCGCAGAGGGCACCGAGGCCGGGCCTGTGCGGGAGTTTGGCCGCCCCCGGAGGTTTGGGCATCTAGTGGTGGAAACTGGCGGCGCCGAGGGGTGGGCCCGGATCCCGGCGTCTCCGCGCGCCCGGAAGTCTTTGGTCGCGCGGTCTCGGCGGGGCTCCTCCCCCCGGGGGGGGGGCCAGCGCCTT